TTCTCCGGGGGAGGCTGGGGCGGGGGAGGGGCAGGAGCGACGGCGGCAGCGGCTGGAAGGCGGAAAGCTTCTCTACCAGCCGCGGTTTGCAGTGCCTGCTGCTCCCAGGCCGGCCAGGCTCCACACCGGTTCCCCGAAGTCTGGAGAAGGGGAGGGGGAGGAAGAGAGAGAGAGAGAGAACGCACCTATAGCTCCGCACCATCTGTTAGAGCCTCTGCTCAAAACCCACTCAACCGTGTGCCCAGACACACTTGCCTTTTTTACCCAAGAAAAATCATTGTTAGCAGTTTCAAAATAAACACCAGATTGCCCATTAGCACTTTCTTCCCCAAATATCAGACCGATAATAACCATATTGCAGCGCACGCTGCTGGGATTCCTCAAGGCGGTTAGGCGCTTCTTCCTTTGATCGGGAGAAGGAGAAAGGGAGGTGGATTCCTAACTACTTCAAAATAAGCTGTAATCTGCTATGTGGACGCTCTTCGAAAAGAAATGCCTCGTGCATCTATAGAAATGAGGGCCAGAGCAGTAGCCACGGGAATCTTTTTTTCTTATATAAAAGGCCTACTTCATTGCATCTGGCCCTTCTGGGTCCATCAATTTGCACTAATCTTGGTTGGGGGGCTAAAAGCATCCATCTGGGTATTACCAAAAAAATTACATGGTGTCCTGTTTGTAGGTTGAAATACTGTCCGTGTCCTTTAAAATGATGCTGTGCGTTTTGTGTTTGGGGGACAAGGAGGAAAGGGGCATGGATCCTGATCCTTGCACAAACAATAGCCATAAAATCCTTCTAATTAGCCAGTAACAATCTTTAAACTTAACAAAACTCCAATAAAATAAAATCAGCAGGGCCTGTTTGTCAACCATTGAGAATGTTCTGAAGGTTTGAGTGCAAAGATTTTGAGAATTAATAATCTTGTGTAAGTGAAATGTTGGGAACCATTGCTATCCAAAAGCCACTGTTGCTGAGTCCAAAAGTCAAATCAAAGTTTTCTGCTTTAAGGGAAGAAATAATGTTTCTTTCTGTGTTGCTTGTTAATCCAAACCTCAGGGGATATAAAAAGTATTGTACTACTGATTCTAATTGGAATAACATGTTACCACAAAATTGTTTTTTGTATATTACATGCTTTTATTTGCAAAGGTAGATTGGGAAAAAAGAAAAAAAAATCTCAGCTTTTGGCTATGTCAAAATGTGCATGTTAGAGGAAAATATGTCCCAACTAAACAGTTCCCTATAGGGAAATGCCTGCCTTAGAAAAGACTTGATCTCTGAGATCTGAATCATACAGTGCTCCTATGTAGTAGTTGTTTTTTTTAATGGGAGTTTTCTGTCAATCTGGGTTGCTTTAGTGAACCCAAATGGGAAGAAGTGGGACTAATATATAGGGATGAAAGGACAATTTACATTTTAACTGGGATTACCATCTTTCTTCTTCTTGTTGTTTAAGATCACCTCATCTGTGTATTGAAATAGTTTTACTTCAGCCAGATTTCTAGCTGACAGTATTGTGGGGGTGTATGTCTTATTTGTATTTTTTATTACATTTATTTAAAAGCCTGTACTTGCTAAGGTCTGGATTTATGTAATGAATCAGCATGGAAGTAGTGGGGCATACCTAGAATATCTGTTTACTTTTACACAGACCAGCTGAAACAAAATGAGACTTATTCCCTTGAAAAAGTGGAACTGGAGCAGATTTTTTTGTGCACAGAATAGGAGGGGAATAGAACAGGCAAGATCAGTGGGCAGAGAGGGCGGTAGAGAAAGGAGTCTGAAAGGCAAATAATTCCTATTAATTATGCTCAGATTCTAACTACATCTCCTTAAAAGATGGGGTTCTTGGATTTCAGCCTAAGACAATGTGGTTAGGATGTGGATTGCCAGGCTGCTGAGTCCGGAAAAGGCTCACTTGTTCTGCTGCTTCGCTCCTGACTCAGCCTGAGAAAAGGGAAGGCAGGAAGGGAAATAATGTGTGACATTGACAAATGGTTCTTTGACAGGTAAACAAAGAGTGAAATAGATCATTAAGAGAAATATTTTATCCTCCACATGTCCTCTTCAGTCCCCACACCTGATTTTAACATCTGAAGAGATGCACGTGGCTTAGCTGTGCACAAAACCCACTGGCCTGGATGGGCTGGAGACGTGAGAA